AGAGCTCCTTGTTGTTGTTGTTATGTGCTGTGGAGTCAGTTCTGACTCATAGCAACTCTGTATAGGGTTTCTGAGGTTGTTAATCTTTATGGGAGCAGAAAGCCTCATCTTTCTCCTATGGAACCACTGGTAGTTTCAAACTGCTGACCTTGAGGTTAGCAGACCAACTTGTAACCACTAAAGTACCAGTATTAGTGAGATGAAATGGACTGGTATTGGCCATTTTGAATCTGGCAATCATATGGTTTACTACATTGGGAATGAAAAGTTGAAGATGAATGGTATCACATTCATCATATATAAGAACATTTCAAGATCTATCTATCTGTGTATGATAGGACACTATCAAAATGCCTACAAGGAAGATCAGTTAATACCGCCAATACTAAGTTAATATCAGTTAATATTCAAATTTATGTGTACCAACCACTAAAGCCAACAATAATGAAACTGAAGCATTCTCCAACTTCTAAAATTGATCAAACATGAAATCAAGATATATTGATAATTATTGGTGGTGGAAATGCAAATGTTTGAAACAAAGAGATAGGATAAGTAGTTGGGAAAAAAAACTTGGTGATAGAATTGTTGCTGGAGATTGCATGTTCAAATTTTGACGGACCAATGACTTATTCATTGCAAATACCTTTATAAACAACATAAAAGACAATTATACACATGGACCTCACCAGATGGTATACACCAAAATCAAATTGACTACATTTGTGGGAAGAAACAGTAGAAAAGCTCTAAATCATCAACCAAAACCAGGTCAGGGGCAGACTGAGGAACAGGTCATCAATTGCTCATACATAAGTTTAGGCTAAAGCTAGAGGAAATTAAAACAAGTCCTTGAGAGCCAAATTTGACTTTTAATATATCCTACCTGAATTTAGAGATCATCTCAAGAATAGAGTTGATGTATAAGACATTAATGAATGAAGACTAGAGAGTTGTGGGATGACATTAAGAATATCATACAGGAAGAGAGCAAAAGGTTATTAAGAAGACACGAAAGTAGGAAAAGACCAAAATGGAAGCCAGAAGAAACCCAACATATAGATGCTAACGCAAATGGAAGAAATTAGGAAGTAACAGTGCTGAACAGAAAATTTCGAAGGCCGGCTCAAGAAGACAAAGTCAAGAATTATAATGAAATGCGCAAAGACCTGAAGTTAGAATACCAAAAGTGAAAGACATGCTCAGCATTTCACAACCTGAAAGAACTAAAGAGAAAATGCATGCCTGGAATTTCAATATTGAAGAATTCCTGGTGTGGCACTGTGGGATAAAGCACTAAACCACAAGGTCGGTTTGAATCACAAGGTCAGCAGTTCAAACTCACCAGCTGTTCCTTGGAAACCCAATACAGGTTTGCTATGAGTCAGAACCAGCTTGATGGCACTTAACAACAATACCATGGGCAAAATGTTGAATGATGCAGAAAGCATCAAAAGAAGATGGAAGAAATACAGAGTCATTGTACCAAAAAGAAAAGGTTGATATTCAATTATATCAAGAGATAGCATATGACCAAGAGTCAATGGTATTGAAGAAAGAAGTACAAAGTGCACTGAAGACTAGGCTTTGTAAATGGATAGAATACAAATTAATATCTTTAACAAACTGATGCAGCACTGGAGTCACTCACCCATCTATGTCATTAAATTTGGAAGACAGATATCTGGCCAACTAATTGTATAAGAGGCATATTTGTGTCTTAAGAGAGGTCATCCAAAGGAATGTGGAAATCATCAGACAATATCATTAATACCACATGCAAGTAAATTTTTGCTAAAATTCAAAACTGGACATAACAGTACATTGACAGGGAATTACCAGAGGTTCAAGCCAGATTTAGAGGACTTGGAACAAGGGATATCATTTCTGACATCAGCTGTATTGTGGCTGAAAGCAGAGAACACCAGAAAGATATTTACCTGTGTTTCACTGATTATATAAAGGCTTTCAACTGTGTGGATTATGACAAGCTATGGTCAACATTGTGAAGAAAGAAAACTTAATTGTGCTCATGAGTAACCTGTACAGAGATCAAGAGAAAGTTGTTGGAACAGAACAAGGGGACACTGAATGGTTTAAAACCAAGAAAGGTATGTGCCAGGGTTGTATCCTTTCATTATACTTTTTAAATGTGTATGCTGAGCAGAAAATCATAGAAGCTGGTTTATATGAAGAAGAATGTGGCATCAGGATTGGAGGAAGACTTGTTAACAACCTTCAATATGCAGATGATACAACCTTGTTTGTTGAAAGCAAAGAGGACTTAAACTACATACTTATGAAGATTAAAGATTGCAACCTTCAATACGAGCTGTACCTCAATGTAATGAAAAAAAAAAAAAAAAAAAGACCTTTATCTCTGGACCAATAAATAACATCAGGATACATGGAGAAGAGATTGAAGTGGTCAAAGACTTCATTTTGCTTGGATCCAATATCACTACTCATGAAAACAGCAGTCAAGAAATCAAATGTTCTATTGTGTTAGGCAAATCTGTTGCATAAGATCTCTTTAAAGTACTCAAGAGCAAAGATGTCTGTCTGAGGACTAAGGTTAGTTGACACAAGCCATGGTATTTTCAATAATGCCATATGCATGTGAAAGTTGGACAATGAATAAGGAATATCATAGAAGAATTGATCTATTTGAGTTATGGTGTTGGAGAAGAATATTAAAAGTTTCATGGGCTGTTAGAAGAACAAGCAAATCTGTGTTGGAAGACATAAAGCCAATATACTCCTTAAAAACCAGCATGGCGAGGCTTCATCACTCATATTTCAGGCATATGATTAGGAGGAACCAGTCACTGAAGAAGGATTAATGCTTGGTAAAGTGGAGGGCCAGCGGAAAAGAGGAAGATCCCCAACGAAATGGAGTGGCACAGTGGCAACAGCAATGGACTCAAGCTTAATAAGAATTGTCAGGATGGCATAGGACCAGGCAGTGTTTCGTTTTGTTGTACATAACGTCACTATGAGTTGGAACTGACTTGACGATACTTAACAACAACAACAATATATATATGCATATATGGGGAGTGTCGTGGCTCCACAGAATAAGCCCTAGACTGTGAACTACAAGTTCAGTGATTCAAGCCCACCAGCTGCTCAGCTGGAAAAAGATGAGGCTTTCTACTCCAGCAAAGATACACCCTTCATAAAGGGTGACTATGAATTGGAACTAACTTGATGGCGTATAACAACAATAACAACAATTGCTGAAGAGAATTTCTGAACCTATTCTTTGCAATACTTTTAATGAGTAGCACAAAATATATGGATGTATATATATATATATATATATATATACATATGGTGGTGGTTATGTGCCGTGGAGTTGGTTCCGACTAAGCTACCCTGTACAGGGTTTTCCGAGGCTATAAATCTTTAAGGGAGCAGAAAGCCTCATCTTTCTCCCATGGAACAGCTGGTAGTTTTGAACTGCTGACCTTGAGGTTCACAGCCTGATTTGTAATCACACTACCAGAACTCCATATGTATGTATATATATACATATATATATCCAATTAATCTTCTTAGACTGCTTTTAATCACAGCATACTCGCTCACAGTGACTCCTGGTGGACGTTACTTAACGCCCCATAAAAGGCTCTTAAAGTCCACAGCTTAAGTATTTGATTCATTTCAACTTGTGCTTCTGTCTTTCATTTTTTTAATTTACTCCAAGTGTCCATTTCTCAATTTAAAGTATGGTTTTTGAATGAATTCTGCTTCTGTGCTTTTCCATATGCCATTCATCTAATCAGCAACATCTTTCTTTTGATTGTAAAAACTTGTTACGTTCATTAATTTCTTCCCACCCCAGTAGATGAGATGAGGCCTTTCCCCTTAATTTAATGTCATTCTGATCATTCTTTGGCATTCATGGGTATTCTCTAGTCACTAGGAGTATCTCTTAATAATGTTCTTTAAACACTTTGTCACTGCTTTACCTTTAATCCAAACTCATACATTTGCATAGTGATTCCTAAACCTGAATATTTTTTTTCAGTCACCTAGTTGGGAAGTCTTTAAAAATAGCTTCCAAAGCTTCTCATTTTTCAGATATATTGAAGCTAAATCTCTGGCTTTGAGACTATGTCATCTATATTTTTAATTTGCTGAGTTTCTATTGTATACCAACAGTTTAAATAGTCTATAAGTGGTACCTAGTGAAGGTTGTTGTTGTTGTTGTTAAGTGCGTTCAGTGGGTTCCAACTCACAGCAACCTTGTATAGGGTTTCTGTGGAGCAGCTGGAGCCCTGGTGTTGTTGTTGTTAGGTGCCATCAAGTCGGTACCGACCTATAGTGATCTTATGCACAGCAGAACAGAGCTGCCTGATCCTGGGCCAACCTCACTACTGTTGCCACGCTTGAGTCCATCGATACTGCCACTTGGCCAATCCATCTCACTGGGGGCCTTCCTCTTTTTCTCTGACCCTCCATTTTACCAAACATGATCTCTTTCTCCAGTGACTGGTCACTCCTAACAATATATCCAAAGTATGAGAGATGAAGTTTGGCCATCCTGGCCTCCAAGGAGTACTCTGGCTACACTTCTTCCAAAATGGTTCTATTTGTTCTTTTGGCTTTTGGCAGCCCATGGCACTTTCAATATTCTCCTCCAACACCATAACTGAAAGGCATCAATTCTTCTACTGTCTTCCTTATTCACTGATCAGCTTTCACATCCATATGAGGTTATTGAAAATAGGGTAGTTCTAATTTATCAGCTGCTCGTAGGAGAAAGATAAGACTTTCTGTTCCTGTAAAGATTTGTTGTTAAGTCTCATAGTGACTCTGTTCCCAAGTGGGTTTGAACCACTGACCTTGTGGTTTACAGTCCAGTGCTTAGCCTACAGCATCAAACAAGAAGTAAAGATTTATAGCCTCAGAAATCCTATACAATACTGGTATAGTCAGAACCAACTCTGTAACACACAGCCACCACCACCACAATGTAATCTAGGTACACTTACCTCTCTCACCAGGTTTGTAAATCTGTTTATCCATCTGCACAAAGACCACATTTTCAGTGTGCTGGATTGCCACAGATCTTCTCTCATGAAGGTCAAGAGTGGCTCCTTTAGCAGAGAATGTAATAAAAGCCAGTGGGTCAGAACCGGCCTTAGGGACCTAAGGAGTAAATACAATACTTTCAGAGTTGGTGTTGCTTTACAAAATCCCTATCACTATGTTTTGACATTACTAAATATTTCAATTCATAGCTTATCATATTTATTCTTAAATAACCAATCTTCTTTCTTTCTCTTGTATCACTTTCTTATCATATACTACCCATTTTAACTTTCTTTTACTTTTCTTAAATGTTTACTTCCCTAGACAGCATTTCTTTTCTTTTTCAGATCTTGTTCCCTTCAACAAAAATTTTGCCATAAATTCAAATAGTTTGGCATGTCCAGGTGTGATTATGTAAGACAATATGAACACAATCTTTAACTAAGGAATGCATTACCCTTTTAAAAATGAAAAGTTTACACACATAGTAAAATTATCTGATCTCCAACCCTAGAAAGTCAAAGACCTGCACTGTTCTTTTCCATGTAGAGCAGAACAAAGTATTTTACCTCAAAATTGAGGCACTTGAAGAAATTCTCTCCTGTAACCTCCTCTTCAAATATTATGGTCTGGACCTCACCAGAGTTGATGGAGACATGCAAAACAACAGTTTCAGTAAGATTAAAAAGCTGGGCACAAACTTTATCCAAAGAGCCTTCTTGTAAAACAGAAGGGACCAACAGAACATACTGCCTGTAAAAATTAAACAGAAGCATTAGAAAAGAACGTGTCAAAGAAATGTTTAGCTACTTAGAAATTATTTTGTCATTGGGAGAATCTTGGGGTTTAACAAATGTACTTGAAACATTTGTTTAAATACATCTGAAGTCTAAATATGAAGACACACTAATATATGAAACAGAAGGAGGCTGACCTCTAATTTGAATCTGTAGGCATAAGGAAGAAAATCTCAGTTGCAAAGCAGTCATTAATTTAAATCACTCATTCTGTAATGGCTAGCATTGTTCGTCTCCTCACACAATATTTTCACCCCTAAATTGATGGTGGACATTCAACTTTCTGTTTGCTTGCTATGTTTCTAGCTTTCTTCCCCACTGGCAACTTGATGCCTGTTTCTCAACATAAATGGCTCTTCCTCAACATAAGCACTACAATTGTTTATTTAGCATTCTAGACATATAATGGTCAGAGATAAAGGGTGACATTCAAATTTGGAATTCACTGTACAAATGAAAATATTTAGGTGCATATTGCAAAATGGTAGTATGGTCTAAAATCGAATTACTTAGATAAAAACGTAGCAAAATTAGAAATTGTACCACCAAACTCTATTTGACTTCCACAGTTAACAATAAAACTCTATGAAATCACTTACACATGAGAAAGAGACTGATGAAAGAGAAAAACACCCAGAAGTATTTTCAGCCACATCATGATCCAAATAGATGAAGAAGAAACCAACACACAGCACCCTCAATCCAAGGTACAGGTTGGTGTGCCGGAAGCAGAAACCTCACTGGCCAGGGAAGCCAACTGTGAAGCTATATATCCATGCCGTAGCTTTCGCCCATTTTCCTGAGTCATCCTTCAAGTATAACACATACAATCTAATTGGATGCATTTTTAAGATTTCAGTCACCTCCCAATACTAGTATCCATGTGTGTTAATTGTCATGGGGTGTGTCATTTGAAGGGCATCATTTCATGTGTATAAAATCTTGCATCAGCACTTAACAGATTTTAAGTACCTGCAAGTAAATCTTTCCAAACACAAATGAAACCACTTGCAATAATTTTAATTGTTACCAATGAATTTGTATCTTACTACACTATAGTTTCCTGGTTAAGTGCTAATTCTATTGAAAACTCACTATCCATTCTTGGTTGGGAATTGTTCCATAGGCTTAGTATGTTTGAAGCAATTTTTAAATACTGATAGAAAGAGGCATAGGAAAGCTCAGATTGATTTTAAAAAATCAAATATTATTGTGTCTTTTTCTCTTCAGTGACTGATGTTGCATTTTCCATACAATATATAATTGAGTGCCAAATATATGCCTTATAATATTCTAAATTGAGTGAGAATAACTTAATGGAAGTTACTGTTGTTGTTTTCTATCACATTTTTCTTTCTAAGATTATAGCTTACCAATTTTGGAGGTTATTATTGTTATTATTTTGACTCTAGGGTTTTGGTTAAATAAAAAGCTCTTAGAAGATAACGTCACATTTGTGATTTCATCATGTATCACAAAGCAATCTCCTACTGGCCACTGCCTCTAATATTGCCCTTTTTCTGAAAGCAGTAAGGAATCCATCTTTACAATCTTTTGGTTAGCAGTTCAGTGATTCTGCTACAGCATTGCAAAATTTAATATGAAAAATTTCAAAAAACAAAAGTTAATATCTACCAATATTTACATTTGTTGAGAAGGAAGAAGAGGAACTTTCAGAATATGTAACTTTTGTAAGATGAATTTAATTTATATTTACATACACATGCAATCTAGTTTATCAGATTTGGTCAAAATTCATAATTATGAAATAAATTAATATACACACCTCTATTAAATTAATAGACAGCTCCTTTTGAGGCTATTACATTGACTTTTTCTATGAAGTCTTTGGATTGTCAATTTGCATCTAAAATCTATATTACTCTCTCTCTGGGACTCATTTGGAATTATGATTTATTTTCTTTTTACTATATAATTATAATACTTATGGAATGATTCTCTTAGTATTATCAGTACCTACCTCTGATTGTGGAATTCTGGTGTGGTGCTGTAGGATAAGCACTGGACTGCTAATCACAGTGCTGGTGATTCAAATCTACCAGTCACTGTCCTCAGAAACCCTATACAGGGTCACTACGAGTTGGAACTGACTCCGTGACACTTAACAATGATAACTTCTGATTGTAACTCAGTTGTATCAACTGTGCTAAAAGTATGGTTGATCATTTGTTTGAAATATTATCTAGAATGACATCTCTAGAATGAATTTTGTATATTATGCATTATGCGAGGGGGCTTCAAAAAGTTCATGGAAAACTGAATTAAAAGATAATGGAATTTTTCCACAGACTTTTTGAAGCTTCCTCATATGTCTGCTTCCATAAAGATTTATAGGCTCAGAAACCTTAAGGGACAGTTCTAATCTGCCCTGGAGATCCACATAGAATAGGAATAGTCTGGATAGTAGTGTTTGTTTGTTTGTTTGTTTTTTGTCAATTTTACAAACATACACTTTGAATTTTGTTAATGTCATCTAATTTTAAATATGGTGATGAAAACAGAAAAACATGTTTTTTCTGTCCACCATGGTTGACTTTGAAGCTATTTACAATGCCTGTGGCATAGTTATCAGTTTCACAGCAATACATAAAGCCACTAAAATGCGACAAACTCACAAATGATTGGAGGTATTTAAATAGAAAGGAAAGATGTCATTAATAATTTAAGGATATGTAGAAAGCAGGTAAATGGTAGATTTTTTTATGAGAAAAATTGGGCATAGTACTTTCATCATATGGGAAATCACCCTTTTCTGTTCAAATACATGCAATTGTTCATTCCCTCATCTCGTAAATCAGAGTTAATGAAAGATATCTCATCACTATAAAAAGGTAATGTTGGCATACGGCCTCCTTAAGATTGCTAGAAAAAGAGTTCCAAAAAAAAAAAAAAAAAATCTTAATCAATGCTCCAAAATTCAAGAACATTGCTGTAGTCAAGAATGTGTTTTGAAATGCTTTTTATGGAAAAAAATTCAAAAGAGATGTAATTACCTTCATGGAATCAAGAAAATTAGCCCTACTGTCAAAATAAAATATAAATAAGACAAAAGTCCAATTCTGAGTGTCTTGTGAATGTGTTGCAATAGTGCTAATATTGGATATGAAATCCTGCTGTGGGTTAATACACTGGACTGAAAAGTCAGTTTGAGCTGCAAAGTCACCAGCTGCTTCTCAGAATCCCTATACAAGGTGGCAATGGATCGGGACTGACTCAGTGACACTTAAAAATAGCAACAATATTAAGTACTGTATGCTATTATTTTTAGTGAAAATTCACTATATTTTAATAGATGAAGACATTTTATATTCAGACACCTCTGTGTATGATACAAAATCATGAAAAAATATGTAGGTAATTACATTGAAAAATAAAAAGAAAAGAGATTATATATGCTTCCAGTCATAGAGAAATAATATATTCTGAGTTCTAAAATAAATTTTAGAGTACAGCTTCTATTTTCTCTTACTTCCTTCCCACATTTTCTACTTCTCTTTCTTTAAGCTGGAAGCTTAAGTGGTATTCATCATTTTAAATATCAAGAAAATATCAAAATTTTGCAAAGAACATTAGCCATTTTGCAACCTTTGACTGACATCACTTTCAAAGTAGTGTTGCTTCTTAGATAAAGGGAAATATCAGCCAGGAGCTTACTATAAGCCATACAATAAATGAAAACTTGTTCTGTCCTCTGTAGAACCTGTTTTTGACAAGAATTTTACCAACAACTTCAGTGGACAGATATTTCATGCAGTAGGTGGTAAACAATGCCTTACAGTCTTCCTGTGTGGAGAAGTTCCACTTGAGGAAGAACTCAGGGTGGAGAGGTGTGAGGGGAAGTGAGCTCATAGTGCTCTCTCCTGATTTACCTTGCTGAAAACCGACCGTAAGTTGTTGGCAAACCTGTTTTGGTTTTGGCATCAAAGGTGACACAAGTTAGAAAATTGTCCAGGATCCTTTTGCCAGCTGAGTCAGACAGTAGGGTTGGGAATGAATACATACCTGACAGGAGAGATTTTCAGTAAATATAATTTCTTTGCATAGAAACTTTTGTTGTAGCCAACCAGGAAAGTACATTACTCACCCTGCTCTTTAGATATTTATCTTCTAAGAATTAGGTTTGTATGTAGCACTTTTCTTGTAAGGCCACAACAGGGAAGTGCAAACGCCTTATACCCTTGCAACCAGTGTTTAGATCCTAGTTCTAGCACTTACCAGACATGTGACCTTGGACAAGTTAACTAAATTCCTCATGCTTCTACTTTCTTGTCTTTAAGAGGAAACAATAATAATAACTATACCTTATAAGTTTGTTGCGTGGATTAAATAATATATTTAAAGTGTTTAATAAGTATAGTCTCTGGCATACTAAGAGGCTTCAAAAAGTTCATGGAAAACTGGAATGAGAAGATTATGGATTTTTTTCCATGAAATTTTTCAAGATCTCTCATACACACTGGATAAGCCTCCACAGAGACTACATGTTATATTCGCACACACACATACCAAAGTCCTATGACATGAAGAGCAATGGATGACGACATTTTTCAATGTTAACCAGAGGATTTGTCCTGGTCTGTTTGCACAATCTTTCTTCCGGAATTAGCAGTCTAGGAAGAATTCAGAAACGGTAAGTAGGTGACAGAGGAAAAGAGGGAAAAAGCAAAAGGAGAAATAAATGAGCAGTAAAATGATAACAACACATTAGATGGAAGTACAGAGACTTTTAAAAGTCAGCCATTTATTATCTTATTTAGCATAAATTCAGAAAAAGGTGATACCAAGTTTGGTTTGCAGCTTGCCAATGCCATCAGAGTACATTCTTTCTGCTTTACTTCCTTGGTGCATCCTACTATTTCTCTTTTTGTTCACACTTTGACTTCTGAAGTGTCAAAGAATATTTCTCCCCAACAATATCCCAATTAGGAAGAAAGGCGTCAGCAGAATTTTTTTTCTGCTTCCTACCCCAACCCCCTTCAGAAAGCAAATTACTTCCGGACATTCTACCAGGAGTTATGTTTGTAAATTTCTTTAGCCAGTCCTGGTTCATATCTCTTATTGTTAAACCAAAGTAGTGGGTGCTATGCTGTACCCTCTAGAAATTCCCCTTCATGGCAAAGATAGTCATAATCCTAGTTTCTGGGAATGTTGTTGATTGTTGGATCTCTGCTGAAATCAGCTCTGAGAATTTCCTTCAGTGTCAGAGATATTTTCACGCAAGGTTTCACCTTTTCCCTAGATTAAGTTTGGTATCTAGGAACAATTGTTGAGGTAGTATAATGACCCGATTCCCTTGTCCTATAATAGGGCAACTCTCAAAGACCATTCTAACACCAGAAGCCCCCATGGGGTCTCCCGAGACTTTTATTGGAGCTGTGTCACAATTCAAATCCTCTTTCTGTATAGTTTTTATTTCCTCATACGCCATACGTCAGTCTTCCCCAATTAAACACCTAAACACAAAATGTTTCTCAATGACTGAGTCCCAGGAATCTGTTCACAAGTCAGGTTACTGTCATAATGTTGTTGTTGTTGTCAGGTGCCATCGAGTCGGAACCGACTCATAGCGACCCCATGCACAGCAGAATGAAACAATGTTTGATCCTGGGCCAACCTCACTACCGCTGCCACACTTGAGTCCATCAATGATGCCACCTGGCTGATCCATCTCGTTGGGGGTCTTCCTCTTTTTCTCTGA